CACCAACGAAAAATAGTTTTGTACTACGGATGAACTGCTCTACTTTTACACAAAGTTTCAGATTTTTCTGAATTTTCGGGTTCCCTAACTTCCCTTGTCAGTATGTTTGCTATTAATTCGCACTCTTATGAGATGCGCTTTTTCACCGAAGATTCCTTTGAGAAGGGTATATGCCCAGTCAGTGTGGCTTTCTTCCACATTTACTAATTTATTATACGTTGCTTTGGAATAAAAAATTCCATCTCCAAGAGGTATCTAATAGAAGAGAACACATGATGGTTGATGAAAGAAATCAGATTAGAATAAAAAATACTATAAATTAAAAGTGTATCACAGACAAATTCAATCTTACTTATCTCGGAGTGACATTTAACTCACCTTTTCCTCTGGGTTTAACAAAATCTCATTACTTGCAGAAGACAATGGTGACCTCATTCCTATAACATAAATAGATAATAGTGATAACCATTTCTATTTAATGAAAGTACATTTTTTCTACGTAATCGCTTCATATGCAAAATCACAGATAAGGACTATTTCACACTGAACGCAATAGGCAATGAGCGATATCCAATGTAAACTCTACTTTCTGTTGTAACGTCCGAAAAAGCAGAATTTTCATTGGATAACGCTCGTTGCTCAACGCCCATCGCATTCGGTGAAATAGCTCTAAGACAGCTCATAATCTCGATTCTTTATCATGATCTTGATCACGAACAACTTTCGTATGTGTACCGACCAATATCCAATAGAAGAGTGTTTTATATAAAACAAATTTTTTGTATTGGATATCGGTCATCATACGCAGATAAAAGTAAAAGTTGTTCGTACACTAAAAAATCAAAGCTTTGAACTGGTTGTAATGTACAAAATATCTTCAAATCCTTCATTCTTTACAAGTGCAGACAAATATGTGAGACATTAGTCAATCAAAAAACCCTTGACTCATGTACACTCGCTCACTAAAAGGTTGCGACACTTTCTTTTTTATAGGTTTCAAAACGCATTAATATTTTGCAAATGCGGACCACGATTGGTGTTATACTGCCTTTAGATTAAAGATAGTACATCGTGGTTTGCATTTGCAAAATATTAGTTATCTATAAAGTATATATTACGTATATTAAATATAAATTAGAAACCTATAAAAAAAAAGTGTCGCAACCTTTTAGTGAGCGAGTGTACATACGTTAGACGCGGAAACGTTTGTTGCATAGCAAGACTCGACGCGGTAGTCAATGGACGTATTATCTTTCTTTAAAAGCTATAAGTTTATTGACTATCGCGTCGAATTTTCTGCGCGGCAATCATTTCCGCCAGTGTGCAGGAGCCATTAGAGTGACACCAGTGTGCTATACATGAAAATATAAAAACAAAAACACACTTTGCATGTACATAAGAAAAGATAAGACTCCAAAATCATGTCTTAAAAACACTATTTGCCATTTAAATTGGAGGAAATCTCCAAATAGAATTAGCAGATAACACAAAGAACCACAATGACACTTAAAATGAAAGCAAAGTCTAACTTACAATTAATCAAACGTTTATGATAAATACGAAACCCATTGCAATTAAAAATTATGTAAAAAGACAACAAACTTGCCATGCTAACATGCGAAGCATAACATTGCACAAGAACTCTCACCTATATGTATTGAAGTAAAATTCGTAACTAGTTTATGTTAACTGAAAGCAATTTATACTGTTATTTTTATTTTGAAATTCCCTCTCAGTTCTTTATGTTAAGTAGACGTTGGCAACTGGCGCCACTTATTTTTTTCTTTCCGGTTGGTATTACTATCTAGAAGTTTGTCTTTTCTCTTTGAGGGCGCCACGACTGCCTCTCTTCCTTCTTCCTGCTTTTACTCGCGTTGTAGTAACCACGTTCTGGACCGATACAATAAATTGTACTGTCGTTTGCAAGTAATTTGTGTGTACTGTTTCCTTCCTGCGCACCTGTCATCAGTTTATATTCAAGGTTGTTACATTTTTTCGTATTTTTTGTCTTTTCCAGATTTTTCAAATTTAACACATGACAACTGTTATCATATTTTTATATAGTGCTCAAAAGTTAAAATTATGATTTCGACAGTTGTCAAACTTCACTGCCATATCATGATTATCAAATAAAATCTTTTCAATCATATACAGTTATTTTAGATACTGCACTGATTAATAATAAAGTATTTTCACTCAAACAGTACAATGTCTTAAATTTAAGATGTTTACAAGATTATTTTCTTAAAAATTTTAGATGTTTTTAGACGTCTTAAGACATTTGTGCTGTCGGACATTGTTTAAACAGTTTGCCTGAAAATAGAAATATTGAAAATTAACAAATTGACAATTTGAACAATACATTACCCGTACATTTATTAAAATACAAATAACAATAATAATAATTTATAAAAATTTATATATCATATTTAAAATATAAGACATTAATAAAATAATTTACAATAAATTATAATATGCAAGCATTTTTAGATGTAAAACTGCAGTAATAACCCAAATGCACAAATATTGACAATGTCTTAAATTTAAGATATTTACAAGACGTCTTAAAAATTTTAGATGTTTGTAGATGTCTTTAAAACATTTGTGTGACACAATATTAAATAGAATAAAATATAAATTATTAATTATTAATTATAAGTAAAATATAAATTAAAAATTAACCTTATATATATATTGCATAATCTAAAAGTGCTTGAATATTAAAATTTATTATAAATTATTTGATTAATGTTTTATATCTTAAATATTATGTATAAACTCTAATAAATTATTATTATCGTTACTTGTATTTAATAATAAATGTACGGGTAATATATTGTTTAAATTGTTAATTTATTAGTTTTTATTATTTCTATTTTCGGGCACTGTTTAACCAATGTTGCCCATACTGTGGATATGGCTGTGAAAATTTACTTATCGAGTCTTCCACATTTGCTAATTTTTTTTCCAATTCTATGAATTTTTCCAAGTTTACTTTTCCTGTATTGTCCAATTTCTGTTGAAAATTGTCTTGCATTTTTTCCATTTTCTCCTCAATTTTTTGGAGACTTTCTTGAACAGTGTTAACATAATTCCTTTCTTCTATGGATGTATTTCGTTTTCTTTCTGCTTTCAATCTAGATTTTAAATCTTTATTCTCTTGCAGCAAACGTGTAACTATGTTTTCATCATCTATAATGGTCACTGATGTATTACTACATGTATTACTTGCGTTCCGTTTCACGCATGACGCGCATGATGTATCATTGGTATATATCTTTCCCATACAGCACAGACGTTGAAAGAACGTTGCTGAGACGTTGCAATATTGAATGTGTAGTGAGAATGGGTTTTTTTAACGTTGAATCTATGTTGAATTTTCTATAGTGATTGTTAATGTTGCTGCAACATTGAATCTATGTTGAATTTTCTATATTAATTCTTATTGTTGCTGCAACGTTGAAATTATATAAAACAAATTATTATCTTTTGAAACAATTAATAAAAAACATTGCATTAAAAAAAAAAATATAATATATAGTAGCTATTATAGGCGGGTTCTAAC